AAAAAAAAAAAAAAAAAAAAAAGAAGAAGAAGAAGAAGAAGAAGAAAAAGAAGAAGAAAGGAAATTAGCAAACGCGCTTGTGGAATTCGAGCGGTCAATGACCCCCCTTGCTTACCTGCAGAACAGGGGTTTCAACCCCGTCAATGAATAAGCTACGATCAGACGCCGGCGGATTCGGGTAGTCCTTCGACGGCCCAGACGTGACCACCAAGGGAACTCCTCGGCGGGCTGTCTTTATATGACTGCTGTACATAAAGCTTGCATTCAGTGGGCCCACACAATTGTCGTTGAATTTTCCCAAAGTTATATTGCCAAACCCGTAATCTACACCGCTCTTTCTGCCTGGATACACAGGTGTGACAGGTGTCTTTCCCTCCTTTGGCCGCAGTGGCCCGATCGCCCATACAAAAGATCGCTCTGATGTCAGATCAATGTCATGATCGAAGTCCTTGTCAGGACTGACAACCGGCCGCTGATACCGAGCAAACAAAATCCCTGCAGCATCGAGTAGATAAAAAATTCAAAAAGCACATCGAACGGATATAATGTCAGACTAAATGGGGTGAGACAAACACACACAATGATCTTGCGATCACGTTCACTGCGCTTGGACATAAACATATAGAGAAAAAGAAGATATAACACCAAGAGAACTGCGAAACTGGACTCGAGAATCTGACGAAGATGGCTTGCCGCAGCTTCCGCTCGAACGAAGAAAAAAAAAAAAAGGGATGGAATGCTCGAAGAACTTTTCTGGGTTCCCCCCCCCCCCTCTTCCTGCCTTAGCTGACATTTTACTGACTTCATTGTTTTTCACCTCCTGCTTTATCCCCTCTCACCCGCCATCCTCTCCATCTGCTTTCTAACCATGGCTACCTACCGGACGTCCAGAGCCCCATCCAGACAGTCTGGACCCTGTAGTCTGTGCTGGGTGTCCAGCTTGGGGGTTCCGGTTTGGCCCCCCTACGAAGGATTTTTAAAAATTTGTTGGCGGGGCCTAGGTGTAGGTTGAGGCCCTAGGCGGCCATTAAAAATATGGCACGGTTTTTTTAGGCGCCTTTCAGCCTCCCGGTCATTGCCAGTTCGAGAGGGAAAATTTCCCTCGTGCCGGCACAGGCGGCACAATTTCGAACGAGGGCTTCAACTTGCCCCCGCCGCCCGCCTGCTCAAAGCCGCTGCCTCCTCCAAGCTGCTGCCCGTCGAAGCTGCTGCCGCCGTTGCCAACGTTGGAGCAGCTGCTGCCATTGCCGCCTTCCTCCTGCAGACCATGTCGCTCTCGTCTTCTGCCATCGGGTGTCGTGAAGCGGGGAGCCAGCGAGCTTTCAGCTCTCTCTCTCTCTCTCTCTCTCTCTCTCTCTCTCTCTCTCTCTCTCTCTCTCTCT